CCCGGCCTGTGGGCTCGCGAGGATCTGAGCAGGATCCTGGGACACTATGGCGCCTTCATTCTCGAGCGCAGTGGTACCGATATTGGTGTGTTGAATCTAAAGCATAGTGCTCTACAACCACTAACATGTACAGACGACGCGCTCGTACAACTCCAGCAGTGGAGGCAGAACATCCGCGTGATCCCGCAACTCATTCAGAACGATGTTTCCTCCACCAAGATCCGTCTCTTCCGTAAGAGGGGTAAGAGCATCCGCTACTACATCCCGGACAAGGTGGTCGACTACATCTACGAACACGGTCTCTACAGCGACGACGAGAAGAAGGCAGCAGACAAGGGCAAAGAGACAGCATCTGCCGACGCTCCTGGATCTTCGCAGAGCGTTTCCGCTTCTTGAACGACTTCAACTACGGATCTGCGATGATCCCTTCGCGCACTGAGAATCGCATGTACCACCACTTCCGACAGGACTGCCGCGCCGCGTGGTGCGGTCAACGCTAGTCCATAATTACGCTTGGGTGGCAATCTGAATTGGCATTGTAGAGACGGTACTCTCATTACACCGTCACGATCACCTAAATGCCGGCTTATTAGAGAGGCACGGGTGGGCCTCCACAGGCTTGATTGGCCGAAAAGGGTAAAGGGCTGCATAAACCCTCATGACCAACGGCGCATTGTTTTTGTACATTTCTAGCTATGATACCACACACATATTCAACAATGCATGATGATAATTTTTCAACCCACATTTGCAATGTCCACGGAGCGTGGAAGTGCACACAGCAACTTGCTAATCATGACAGGGGCAGTGATGTCATTCAGAAGCGAGGCCGCGGCTGCGTGGGCAGATCTTCCCTGCCGTTGCTAATCTTCGGGGCAGGGTCTTCACGGCTTTGTCCAGATATGATATTCCCGGATGACGTTATGGCATTTTTCATGAAATGCCATCCAGCATGCAACATGTCCCGGTGTCCTAAGTAAAGTCTCGTGCAGTTTGTTTGTGTTCGTGGCATAGCCACAGAGGCATACGCAGCCTTTCTACTACCAAGTATCCAAGTATTAGCTGAGAGCATCGTCACCGTGATACCCGCCTTGTCAAACATCAATAACATTTACACAAGGCCGATTCCTCGTCTTATGTCCAAGTTTGTTGCGCTTTCCAAGGTCGCTATCCAAGCGGCTTGTGGCGCCCAGTGCTCGGCCACGTCAGGCACGCTATCAACACCACGTCTCCACAGCAACGACACCAACATCCCAGCAAGCCCAACCTCGTGCATGTGCCCAGCCGCTGATTATACATATTCGCTACCGATATTCACATGCGCCCGAGAGCTGGCGAAGACCATTGAGCGTGTTATTCTTCCTTTCGTGCTTTTTCAGGCGTTCTATCAAGTGCATGCTAGCCCCTCGTTTCTACACCGCGCTTTCGCTACACTGCTATAACCACCACCACCAACACCATTCTTTCCAATGAGCGACCGCGAGCGTGACCCGTCGCGCAGACGACCACAAGGCGACCAACGACGACGACGCAGGGAATCTCAGGGCGACGTAGACCCTGAACGACGAAGACGGAGAGAATCCCGAGGTGAACACACCGTTTACGACCAGGAGGGAAGGCGGAGAAAAGGACACAGGGCGACAGACTCCTCAGGCGACCTACTTCCAAAGCCACGAAGACCCTCGAGGCATCAGAGCGACACAGAGCAGGAATCCCCGGCCCCACGTCAAGCACGAGGCTCGCGGCGTAATTCTAGGTCAAAGGGCAGTGGAAGTGGGAGTCGAGGCTCAGCCCCTCTCAGTCTTGATGCGATAGCGAAGCTCGACAAGAGTAATGCGAAGAAGGCTGGAGGTTGGGGAGGCTACGACTATGACGACGAATACTTGAAGGAAGTCAGAAGGAAAGAAAAGAACTTGGAGAAGGAGAGATTGAAGGAGGAGCGAGAAGAGAAGAGGCGAGAACAAAAAGAACAGGAGGCCAGACGACGCGCTGCAGAGAGCGATGCCGCTCTGCTCGAAGAGAAGGCTAGGAAACGGCGGGAAGAAAGGCGGAAGGCTGCTGCGCTGAAGCAAAGTCAGACCGATGATGAGCTCGAGAGAACGAGAGGCACATATACAGAAGATGAACGAGAGGAAAGAAGACGCAGGCAAGAGCCCAAATACACACCGTCGGAAGCTGAGGAGCGAAGGGAACGGAGACGGAAGGAGAAGCAATACCGCACAGAGCAGAAGAAGCGTCGCGTTATCAGTGGACCTTTGGCTGAAGAGGGCCGCATCGACGATGACGATTCCGAGTACCGATACATGATGGAGAAGCGCGGAGGCGCGGGCAGCGGTCCACCAACAGTATACACAGAGGAGGAGCTGGCACGGAGGAAGAAGAACAAAAAGCGTATAATATTCGCAATAGTCGCCGTTGTGGTACTCCTCGCTATCATCATACCTGTAGCTGTCCTGCATTCGAGCAAAGGAAGCAAGAACGACGAGACAGGCGAAGGGACCTCATCCGCTGCCACCTCGACGGGGCCAAACAAAGACAACCTAGCTGGGAAGGACCGAAATAGCGTGCCGGAAGCAGATCGAGGCGGCATCCTGGATCCATGGGCATGGTACGACACCCAGGATTTCAACGTTACCTACACCAACGAACTCGTCGGTGGTTTACCCATCATCGGTCTCAACTCCACTTGGGACGATGACGTCCAAGCAAACCCTTCTGTACCGAAGCTCTCAGACTCGTTCGAATATGGCAAGACGCCTATACGTGGCGTAAACGTCGGTGGCTGGCTCAACCTCGAACCCTTCATCACTCCTTCCTACTTCTCTCAGTATGGATCCAAAGACAATGTAGTAGACGAATGGACGTTCCTCAGCAAGCTTGGACCTGCGAAGGCTAAAGACACGTTAGAAAAACACTACTCCACCTTCATCACCAAGCAGACCTTTGCTGAGATCAGGGAGGCTGGCATGGACCATGTTCGCTTCCCCTTCGGCTATTGGATGGTGAGGACCTACGACGACGATGTCTACGTACCTCAGGTATCATGGCGCTACCTTTTGCGTGGTATCGAGTACTGTCGCCAAAACGGACTACGCGTGAATCTTGATCTTCACGGCGCACCAGGTAGTCAGAATGGCTGGAACCACTCCGGCCGTCAAGGCCAGATCAACTGGCTGAATGGCACAGACGGTGACAAGAACGGCCAACGCACACTAGACGTCCATCACCAGCTCTCCGTCTTCTTCGCGCAAGACCGCTACAAGAATGTAGTAACCATGTACGGTCTCGTCAACGAGCCACGCAACGTGGAACTCGACACCGACAAAGTCGTCGCCTGGACGCAAAAGGCCATTGACCAAATTCGCGCCGACGGCATAAAGGGCATCATAATCTTTGGCGATGGCTTCATGGGCCTCGACAATTGGCAGGGTAAGCTCCAAGGCAACGACGACCTCCTCCTCGACGTGCACCAATATGTCATCTTCAACACGGACCAAATCAAGCTCAAGCACCGAGACAAGCTGAACTTTGCCTGCGAAGCATGGACTCAGCAGTCCAAGCGCTCCATGGACAAGAAGACCGGTTTCGGTCCCACCATGTGCGGAGAATGGTCCCAAGCAGACACAGACTGCACGCAGTACATCAACAATGTGAATACCGGTACACGCTGGGAAGGCACTCTGCAAGCCTCGGACAAGTCGGGTGCAGTACTCGCCCCGCAATGTCCGCTCGAATCCTCCCAGTGCTCCTGCGACCAGGCCAACGCCGACCCCGGCAGTTACTCTGACGAATACAAAAAGTGGCTGTACCAGTTTGCTATCGGCCAGATGGATGCTTTTGAAGCTGGCTGGGGCTGGTTCTACTGGACGTGGGAGACGGAGAAGAGTACGCAGTGGAGTTATAGGCGGGGGCGCGAGGCGGGCATCTTGCCGGATAAAGCGTACGAGAGGGATTGGAAGTGCCCTGGAGGTGGCGTGGAGAGCTTGGATGAGTTTGAGGGGTTGGCGGAGAACTATAGGAGGATATAGTGGAGGTGGGGACGAATGGGGTGTCGTATATGATCGTTATGTTGTGTTGTCCGGGCTTCAGCCCGTGTTCCTTTTTCTCATACAGTAATGAGGGGTGTTTGGGAGTGAGGGAGGTTATGAAGCATGATTGTCGGTGTTGTTACGAAGTTGAACATAGCATGTGCTCATGCATTTCATGGCGTTGGTTACAGGTTCCATCAATCCAGCACACATCTTTTCGCGCACTTCTTTATCATCGATTAGATTTATGTCCCTAGAACAAACGTGGCAGCTTCGTGGCAACTGAAATCTGGGTAACTTGAATTGAGATGAATTGGTCTCCTTTGCGAAAGACGATCCCTCAGGATTTAAACGTCGTCAGCTTCTGTTACATATTTCATATCCCGAGGTAGCCGCTGAATCAGCGAGCCTGAACGTCTTGATGAACACGAACGAAAGTCCCCACATCTCATCTTACCGACTAAGATCTGAGCTTTGCACAAGGCCACCCACACCTGCGCCTCATTACCACCAATACTGAGTGCCTAACTCCCTATTTTTATGTCTTCACAGTTCCTAGTACGCACCGTTCAACTCTCTTTTTAATGTGACGATCTCGACGTTTACCATCGGGGCTGCTTCCAAGTGTTAGGATTACATACACGGACATCGCCACGTCATGCTCGCACGACACGTTGTTATTGCGATTGGCAGGAGACATCGCACAACGCAAGTCGCTATTTTAAGGCGGACCGAGCGGAGTCATTGGGGACGTACCACCCTGGGGGAGATCATGAACAGTGAGCGAAGCGGTGTCGAGAAGGAGGCGGCTGTGTGGGTATCGTGAGATAAGGCGAGACATGTTTATATCGTAGGTGTGCTGCGTCTTCTTCATGTTTTGCTATCTCCATTCTCATCGTTCTTTCCTATACAATTGAACGATACCGTAATTCATATTTTCCAACATCTGATCGTGACCTGGAACATCTTACCATGTCGTTACCCATCAAAAGTCATCATATTTCCCCCCGAAACTCCATCTTCGAGAACGATGCCCAAAAGCGCGGTTTCATCGTCGTCATCGTCCTCTCTGTCCTCGCTACTGTTGGCATGTTCTGTCTCATCATCAGTCTGGTCATATGCAAGAACAAACGCGATCGAAAGAACAAAGCGGCAATCGTGAATGCCGAGATGCGTATGCCTGGGTCTAAGAGCAGGTATCGAAAGCTGGAAGACGAGGAAGAAGCAGAAGGTGGAGTTTGGAGCGTAGAGATGGATGATAGACGGCCGACTGCGTACAAAGATGGACAGCAGTACGGACAGGTATGTGGATTATGAGATGGAGGGGAAAGCATGAGACGATGGGACTAACTCGGATGTTAGGTTGACGTCGATGTGCCACATCCAGAGACTGCGTACAAGTGACCTCGTCCTATCCGGCTCGGCATGAGACCACAACAATCAACGCGGTACTTAGCTTGCTAGCAAGCAGGTGTAGAAACTCTTCACGGCATCGGATCATACACTAGCCATCATTCACCATTCGAATTAAACAATACCTCACCACCACCTCAACTCCGGACCTTGCGGCTGAATCTCGCTTTTAGATCCCGTACTGGCTAAGTGCTACTACCAGAGAGGCCTACCTCTATATCATCAGACCCTTTGAGTCATGTTTCCGTATCAAAAAGAGAAAGAGAGCGCCCGACTCTTAAGGGAAGCATTCGAGGAGAGGATGCGTATCGAACACCCCTTCAACGCGGAGCAACTACAACAATTCGACCAATTGAAGGCGCTGTTAGCAAGAGTACCCAAACTGAGTAAAGCCGATAAGGTGAAAGCGGAGGAAGCGGCCAAGGGGGAAATATGCACGGCGAAGCTCGACAAGCAAAGAGAGATGTCGGAAGAAAGGCGACTCCGCTCTTTACAAAAGAGCCACGAATCACCTGAGGACATTCAAAATCTAAGTTCTTTTGCTGTAGAAACTAAGGCTTCGCTTACACCAAATTCGCTCTTCCCACTGCCATCATCGTCGCTGTTATGGCCTCGGCCTGCACTCCAAGACCCAGTCTCATCCGCAACACCAGAAGTCACCCCCATCACACTCCCCCACCATGTTTGGGTCATCACCCAAACATCCTTCGGATCCGGCGGCACTAAGAAAACCTTCGCTCTGTGTACCACACTCCTCGCCACTGAGGCAGTCATGGCCCACCTCACTGCTGAACTTGCTAATCGCATTGTTTTGTATATCCCAGGAGGCGCGAAGGCCGCGCAAAGGACACGTTTCGATTTCCAGACGTACATCCATACAGACCATGACTTTGGCTTTCAGGCGTGCATTGGGGAAGGGGAGAAGGTTGCTATTGATGTTAAAACTACTTGGGAGGAAGGGGTGCTGTGGCAGGGGAAGATGGGCGATGGGAGAATTTTTGGGGAGGGGTTCGGGGAGGTTACTATTGAGAAAGTCAGGGCGTTTATGAAGGGGTGAGGGTGGTGATAGTCTAACAGGTATCTGTGGAAAGCTGTCATAGGAAACATGTAAACAGTAGGGGATACCTAGGATAATAAGCTAGGTAAATGACAAAACCAGAAATTCTCCGATTTCATACAAACAAGAAGGCTATAGTACACCAGGAACATTGAGATGAAAGCTAATGCTAAATCCCATCTCTTCGTATAATGTAAGGTGTTTTGACATTGTACTCTAGTCGACACTTCAAGCGTCCAGATCTTACATCAACAAGGCTTCTACTGCCCATCCCTCTCGGCAAGCATCTCCTCAATATGCTTGTTCAACCAATACCTTCCCAATATCTCCCTACTCATATCCTTTGCCCCCTTGATTTCTCCCGCACACTCCCCCGTCTTACACAAGCAGTTAAAGGGCTGAGCCATACTCCACTCCGTACTCGGATAGAAGAATGTGAGCTCATCGCCCTCCTTCAGCCCCTCTCCATCCTCCGAAACCCTTACTTCCCAGCGCTGCATGTCGAACACTAGACTGGGCTTGCAGCTGTGGTTTATGTAGACGAGGTCGCAGTTGAGCTCAATGTGGAGGTCGCGCGAAGCTTGGACAGAGGAGTATGCTACGGTGGCTGGTGTGGGGTTTGTGATGCGGGCAAAGACTGCGCCTGGGGGGAGGTTGACCAGAGAAACTGAGCGTGAGGTAAAAGCACCTGGGTTGTGTTCTACGCGGAGGAGACGGGAAAGGTCGGGTTTAACCCAAGCGGGGATTTGTGAGGTAACTGTCGAAGAAGGTGTTGTGACAGGTTTGGTAGACGATTTTCCGTTCGTGTGGGGTGTTGTAGCGGGAGGAGGGGTCGAGGTTACGGCTGCCGGAGACATGGCGGATGACGAGGAATCGAGGTTTGTAATAATGAATCTATGTGTATGGGATGAGAATTATGAGTTAATTTACTTCGTCAGTCATGTCAAGAGAGGGCATATGGCCGCTCTTTAGTACTGCTTCCCTGGAAGCCGGACGATGGGCGCAACTACACGCTTCCAGACATACTAGGGTCCACATGAAGACGCCATCTCATCCTTTGTGTGGGGATAACGCGGCTTGTTCCAGTGTCATTCCATGTAGTTCCATATTGCCGATGGGGCTTGGTGTCTCTATTCCAGCCTGCTTTGGCGGATGGAGATCCGAGGTACCTGGGTACATGTGTACCCAATTGCACGTGAGGCAAGCTTTGCCAAGTATTCGATGTATAATAGCATTACGCGCGGTAAGTCCAATTTAAGGCGGCACAGTGAGGATCAAGTGGGCTGGGGTCTGGTATATCTGTCGTCTGTCGTGCATGGTGGGGAGCTGCTAGTGACGTGGGTTGTTGAATAGCTTCCAAGTTCTCCGGCTTTACAAATAGCCTCGGCAGTGCAAAAGCACACTAAGCCTAAAACATCCCACTTAGGTAGGGACTTCTCTAGCAGTCGAGAACTCTAGAGATGTTCTAAGCTGTGCATGCGGCTCCTTGGTACGGAACTTTGGCAGACTCAAGGTTATGAGACTTGTAGCGAAAATTGATGCGTGTTATTATGGGTGTTTAATCACCTATGTACTTATAGAGGTCTTTGTCATCATCGAACATCATCCTCAACCCAGATCAACCCGCCTATTTCACGTATGTCTGCTCAACGGGCACAACGCCATTCTCGTCACCCTCGACACCCGTCGCATCTCCGCTCTGAAGGCCCATCTTACTTGTATCATATCCATTTGCGGTGAGATACTCTCTGAACTTTACGTCCTCCTGGTCGATTGTATCCTGGCCGATATGCGGAAGCAGCAACACCAGACCAGCAGCTACGAAGGCTAGAGTAGATGCGACGAAGAAAGGGTTGCGGCCTGCAGCTATTTCATCATCGCCTGCAGCCTTCTGTAACGCATCGAGAGCATAGGATCCAGCGAACGCACCGATCTTGCCTACAGCTGCTGCGATACCGTAGTATTGACCACTGTCTACATGTTAGAACCGGGGGGATTAAAAGGCGATGAAAAGACGTACCGAATTCCAGTTGCACAAGTCTTCGACGCAACCAAACCAATGTTATCACCAGGGCCAAATTCGCCTAGCGCAAGGAAAATCCCATATACCACGACGAATCCGGCAACGTTCTCGGGTTTGTTCAGCCAAGGATAGCATCCAGCCATGATGAACCCGATGATACCCTGCAGCGTTACGCCGATAAATAGCGTCTTCTTAGGGCCCATGGATGGTAAGTCTGCAACGAAAGCACCGGCAAGGCAGCCGGGCATATAGAAGAAATTGATCAGAATGTTCCACGCCAGACTCTTCCATAACGGCGCCGATTCGCCCAGTAGATTGGCCAAGATAGACGTCGCGTAGATACCGAATGAGTAGGCGCTGAAATCATAGATGAACCAGATGATACTGACAATGCTAAGCCGGAACCAGTAGTACTTGATGATAAGCAACCATGGTGTCTTCGCTTTGGCCAGAGACTCCCGCTTGAATGCCTCTGGCTCTTGTAGCTTCAACCGGAGGTAGAGCAGCGAGAGAGGTGGGATGACACCGATACCAAGACAGATACGCCAGGCGGCGCGTAGATGGTTCTCCCCAGTAGCAAGGACGACGACAGTAGCGACGATGGCGCTGATGAAGAAGGCCAGGTCAATCTGCACGTTGGTGAAGAGAATGAACCATTTGTTCCGTGTGCCTTGCTTGAGTTCGCCAGTAGATTCTGCACAACCGACGCTGCCCGCTGGGTACTCTCCACCGATACCTACCACAAGTCAGCAAATTCAACGAATGCAAACAAACACAGTTTTATGTAGCACATGCCTATTCCGAGGAAGAATCGATATACAACGAGCGCCGTCAATAGACCACTCGGACTTCCACCTGCCCCATAAGACGCCGTTCCCAGGATGGCGAAAAGTATGATGATGATGGTCGAAGTGAATAACGACCATTTTCTTGAGAAATGATCAGATGTGTACCCGAAGAACAACATCCCCACGACTGTGCCAGCAAACGTTATACTTGCGACGTTTGCTTGAGCAGAGGAGTTCGCATACGAATCTGGGTAGATAGTCTTCAGCATCGTGTTGACTGGTCCGATGATCTACAATTCCTCTATCAGCATTTCTGTTCTCACAGTTCCAGTCTTTACTCATACATAGCGGTGTTGCTTTGGGACGGGGATCGATGTTGTCGCGTTGGAGAATATCTTGTTGTCGCTTCTTGGGTCGGTTTCTGCGTACATTGTTGAGATAGCCATCGCTGAAAAGTCCAGCTCCGCATGCGATCACAGGCCATAACCTTTCCCATCTTCCTTTCTCTGTTCTCGCGACACTGCCTCTACGTTCAATATCGCCTTTCTCATCAGTCGCATTGTATAGGCCAGGCTGGACTTCTGCGGCTGAAGCCATGGTAATGTCGCGTGGGGCTCAACCAGAATGCGCTGCAGGAGGGTATTGCGTCACGATCTTCCAGCGCGGTGGAATGGTAAGAATTTCGTAGCAACAGCGACAAGCTTTCGTAGGCGAACCCTTCAAGCTTTAAGGGTTCCAAGGTTCACACCAAAACTTGATCTTACTCGCTACCCATTTGCTACCTTTGTGCCACTCACCGCAAAAGACCCTGTGATCACCTTGCTATGGGCCGTATCGGGCTTGGTGCAGACCCGAGGGGTCAACGAACCATTCACAACATGCGAAAGCTTTTCCAATACCCGAGGCGTAGGATTCGGAGGCCCACGAGCTGTTACTCGATACAGCAGGTACAATCTCCGCCGGGAATACCGATCATGAGAGGTTGGGACTGCAAAAAGTTATCAATGATTGCGCGGCCTTCGCCGCTCGGGTATTGTGGCTCTCGGGAATAGAACATCGCAGCCGCTCTTAGGTGAAGAACAGCGCGATCGGTAATTATCACTTGAAAGTCTTCGAAACCATGCTGAAAGGTGGGAATCGTGTTCAGCTTCAAGCTTTGCCATGCTTTATCTCAGGCGACCGAAGCACCTGCGCGTCACCTAAAGAGGTTAGTTGTACTGACATTGCCGACGCCACACGGAGCTTGTCCTGCAGCTGCTGGATCGAATTGGCATGTGAGCACGCGATCATCAGCATGGCATTCGATGCTCAAGACAGCAGACCCATACTGCATCCGAACATCGGAATCGATTCCATAATACTTCACTGTGTAGTTTGTAGGGGCAGGCACAATATCATATGCTGATCCAGCTTTGGGGCTACGAGTACCCGGGTTGTTCACAGCGCAGGCAAGACTTCACACCAACCGGGCCACGCAGGTGGCCTTAACGCGCTCCTCCTAGTCTCGCTCAAGAAGCGATAACAACGAGCAACAGACGCTCGGATGAACTTTCAGATCGAGCTGATAACATCCATGCTCATGCAGGTATAGATTGCGACAAGCGGAAGGAGACGAAGGAACACGAACAACAGCACCGTGCGCGATTGTGTTGAGATCCAACCCGTACGGCATCTCTACGGGAGAACTATCGGTGATTGAATCAGCAACTATCGACTCCATCTTGCGACCATATCGGACCGATACTTGTGGTTGCGGGCCGAGGAGACTTGGAAATGTGTAACAAGACCGAAGGATCCACGTGAGCAAGTTGGACCAATGCTCCATGTATGGTTTTGTTGATTAGATGACTACATTATTACATACTCATCTATGTATGTGCTGCGTACAAGAAAAGACATGTTGCATATTGCATTGCTGCAGGGTATCACGCGAAAGACATTAGCAAAGACATGTACCGATCCCTCCTCCCAAAAACAAGATGTCGTTTACTTGTTGTCAGACGTCTTGATGTGGTCAAACGGAACCGATGTTTTTTGGACCGTGGTCGTCACCTGTCCTCGTGAATTCGCCCTGTCCATCTCCATGAACCAGTCGTCGCCCTCGCTCTGCGTCAGGCTTTTTGAACTTCGGTTCTCGTTGCTCGGAATGCGGTATAGGTGTCGTAGTGAATCTTGACTGGGGCGACCGG